AACCAGACAAAATTAGAAACTTCACAATAAAAACATGCCCTTGAATACCTTAGGATCCTATAGTTCACTCTGATCTCCCATAACTTGACTTTTGAACATAGCATTTTTTGTTGTTGTTGTTGTTTTTGTTTTTGTTACTGGGGATGGAACCCGGCACACTTAACCACTGAGCCACATCCCCAGCCCTTTTTATTTTTTATTTTGAGACAGGATCTTGCTAAGTTTCTGAGGGCCTCACTAAGTTTCTAGGGCTGGCTTTGAACTTGTGATCTCTTAGCTTAAAATAGAGCTATGCTTTAGCACTTCATTTTTAATCAATTTTATGCCAGTTGTCCATACATGTGTAACAAACCACACTGAACTCAAAAGCTTAAGATAACAATTTATTACAGTTTTTATGATTCCCTAGGTTGACTGGCCTCACTTGAGATGTCCTCACTTGGGGTTTCCCATGGGGTCAGACAGTTGGTGCTGCAGACATTTGAAGCACTGACTGTGCTGCCCACTCAAGATGCCTTGCCCATGTGTCTAGCAGTTGATGTTGGCTCAGCTGAAGTTGTTCATGTATATATGTCCTCTGTGTGTGGCTTGGGCTTCTCTCAGCATAGTGTCTGAGTCTCTGGGGGAGTGCACTAAGAATTCCAGACACCAGGTGGAAGCTGCAAAATACATCCAGCCTTAGAAATAACTCAGCATCATTTTCACTGGAATCTTTTTTTTGGGGGGCGGGGTCAAAGTAAGTCACAGGGCCTGCCCAATTTAAAAGAAGGATGACATGGGCTGGGGTTGTAGCTCAGTGGTAAAGCGCTTGCCTAGCATGTGTGAGGCACTGTGTTTTATTCTTAGCACCACATATAAATAAACAAAATAAAGGTTCAAGGACAAGATATATATATATATATATATATATATATATATATACACACACATACATACATACATATACACACACACTCTATTATAAGGGAGGTAATTCTAAAAAGCTGGTAATTATATATATATATATATATATATATATATACATTTTTTTTACGTAAGAGATAAGAGGGTATGAATATTGGGATGGACCGTTCATTGGGAGGCCATCTGTGAAAACTGCTACCACACAATTTATATAGATTTATGTGTACAAGAGTTTAAAAGTCATTTTAAAAATCAAATACATGGAGACAAATGTTATCATCCTAAAATGGAGAGAAAAATGCAATGAAATTGTACTTTGATTTTTTTCAACATCTTATAGTACTTTTTAAATACATTTCTGCCTGATGAGACAAAAAGATAAAACAAATGCCATGAGATCTAAGAGGTGGCCGAAGGGATGGTTGAAGTATGACAACTATAAGTTGAGAAGGCAGAAGAAAATCTCTAAAACTATAAAGACATAATGAGACACTTTTCAAATGATATGGCATCTTTAGAGATTTCTGGCAAACCATGATAACCATTTTGTCATGTAACAAGGAACAGGGTGACTTCTGAGCAGAAAAGCAAAGGAGGCAATAAGAGGCAGCCTTGTAGTTGAAAACCAGTCATTCCTAAATTATTTTTTAGTCACAGACCCTTTTGTGCATGTGAAAAAATTATAAACTTCTCTCTAGAAAATGTGGATATTTTCATCTCTGTGTCCCTTCCTTCTTTCAATCATTCTTTCTTCCTTACTTTTTCCTTCCTTCTATGATTATTTATAGGGAACTGATTCTGTTTAGACACCAGTCGGGACCAAGGAATAAAATATAGCAGAAGACAGTCAAGTTTCCCAGTCTCCTGGCATGTACAGTTTTAAGACAAGGAGACAGACAAAACTGAGAACACCATTAAATAAGACAATCTCAGATTATTATAAGTGAACTGTGTATAAAAAAAATCTTGCATGTAATTTTATGAAGTTCACCATCCTTTTGTGGATTCTTCTTTGCTCTCCAATCAACAATTTCACTTTTAAACTGAAGGATAACTTTTTAAAAAAATATGAGCTGTGTGGATGTAGTTGTTGATTACCCATTGATTTTTTACTTACATTGAGTGCACAGATGTTGACTCATCTGTTTTTATTTTCACCCATGAAGAATAATTATATGCAGTGTTATTGGAACTGACTTTTCCAATCAATATAAGAACATTGGCTTTTATAAAAATTTAAAAATTAAAGTGGCTGGTGAGTATAAATATATGCACTGTAAGGCTTTTCCACAGCCTTCTTCCAAACCCCACCCCCACTTAGGGAACTAGCTGCTTACCCTCTCAAAAAAATTAAATGGCTCATAAAGCCATGGATTCACATTGCAAAGCCTCAATTTACAAGAGACTCTAAGAGCTGACCCTTTCATCCATATTTTGAAGATGAGAGTGGAGGATGGATAATTTGCCTTGAAAGTTTTATTCCCTCTATGTTCTATGTTTTCATGTTTTCACCACAAATTGGCCTTAGTTATTATGGTATCTTGTAGGGGATTTAAATATATACTTTTATCTTTGGCAACATTGTAAGTATTGTCATTAACATAACATATAACTTTTTCAACAGTGAATGAAATGCAAATATCAATTTCTCTTACTCTATTATAAGGGAGGTAATTCTAAAAAGCTGGTAATTATGAAAAATTTTAATTAGTAACACAAACCTTAAATTATGTCTTTTTTTGGTATTTTATTGATATCAAGTTTTTACCTTTTCTTCAGCTGAAAGGCATTTCAGTACATATATATTTTTTAATTGTTTTTTGAGTTTTTTTAAATTGAACCCAGGCATTGTACCACTGAACTACATCCCCAGCCCTTTTTTAACTTTTATTTTTTATTTCTCACTAAGTTGCTGATGCTGGTTTCAAACTTGTGATCTTCCTGCCTCAGCCTCCCAAGTCATGTGGATTATAGGCATATGTCACATATGCACACTCAGCTGCATTTTAGTATATGGTGTGTTATTTTGGACTCAATATAATCTTGAAGTGAATGTACTCTAATTATTTAGAGCAAGGGTTAACAAACTCCCACTGTAAGGCTCAAGTCTACTTATTTTTGTTAGTTTTCAGTGAAACCCAGTTACCACTATTTTGTACATATACTCTGCATGCTTGTACACCTATTATCATTCCTCTTTTAGAGAATTTTGTAAAGTGGTTCTGTCTTTATTTCCTTTATAATTATTGACATAAATTCTGTATTCCACAGATAACATAATAGGCATATTGCCAAGGTTAGGCACATGATCTAGGCATACTATATGACTACCAAGTGTCAAGCACTACACTAGGGAAATAGTAGTAAATAGTAGACAAAATTCATGCTTGGGTTGGGGTTATGGCTCAGTGGTAGAACACTTGCCTAGCATGTATGAGGCACTGGGTTTGATCCTTAGTACTACATAAAAATAAAATAAAGATATTGTATCCACCTACAACTAAACAAATATTTTTAAAGATTCATGCTTATTGTTCAATGATACTTCCAAGACACTCAATAATAAAAATTATGACAAACACTTGGAGTTTTACTGAAGAACAGAACAGATTTTATATTGAGGTGACTGGGTGTTGACACTGACTAGGGAAAAAATGTGGGAATTCTTGAACTGCAATAATACTATACAATCAGAGTGCTACAATAAAATTGAGCCATTGATGCTCATAATTAAGTGCAATATAGAGTGTTTTTAGAATTACTCATATAATTTATGGAAAAGCATATGAAATTTCTAGTTCATTTTGTCAATAAGCCGTGACAAGGGTTGTCTGTCCAAAATCCCATAAACTAGTGACTTGGAGTTCTTGTGTTTGCAGTGATGTCCTTTGAGTGACATCTCATGAGCATCTCTGTGGTTCTCAAGGTGTCCTTACATGATGGGAGCTCAAATAGCAATGTAATTCAGTAAACATTTACTGAGGGCCTTCCTGTGCATAGCAATCTGTTGGGTCCAGCATAGGCCACAAAGCTCTATAAGTAGAAATTGATACTATCTCAACCTGGGTGACTACTAACCTGAGAATTCCATAACTTTTGGAGAAGATTTGGGATTGGAAAAAACCTTGCACGCCCTTTCAACTTCTGTCCTGCTTTTTGCCAACTCATATTGGCAAAATTAACTGTGCTATTAGTGAAAGATGGGACAAAGAACATTTAGAATCCTAAGACAAAAACAAAAACATAAAAAAAAAATCTTCACAAACTTGGTTTAAGTTAATGAAGGAAGATCCAAAGGGAAGAAAATGTTTTAAGTTGGGTATGTAGCTCAGTGGAAGAGTGTGTGCTTATCAAGTTCAAGGCCTTGGATTCATTTCCCAGCACTGCACACACAAGCATATTTTATAAAGTGTTTATATTAGACTACAGCATGAGCGAGAGAGAGAGAGAGAGAGAGAGAGAGAGAAAGATAGATATAGTTATGTAATCTATTCACTGTTCTTACAGTTTGTGTGCTAGGGGAGAGACTCTGCCTCTGCTTCCTCCTTTCATTCCTCCTGTTGATATTGTGGCTGCACCCAGTTTTTTAGTGTCAGCTTTCACCCACTGGAAAAGAGAAAGAATAACAAGAGTGCAGTTGCCAGCTTTAGTAATTCTAGTTCCTGGAAACAAGGACAGGAAGCCTTTTAGTTATTTGCACACCCTAAATTTTCTAGCTTCTATTGAATAAATCACTTAACTTTCAGCTAATTACAGTGTTGGAAATTTTACATCATTCATCTTTTTATGGCAGTTCTTAATGGATGACTGCGGAGATTAAAACTCTTGACAATTTCCACCATATAAAAAAGGAAAGCTGACCTAGAGAAAGATGGGACAAAGATGAACATTTGAGAAGTTTTTAGCACCAATAGAATCGTACACAGTAGCCTACTTAAAGTAGTGCTGATGTGAATACTTTGCCTAAGTTCCTGAAAAATGACACAAATATTTTCCCAGCTAACAACCCCATCAAGCAGGTAGGGCTATCATTCCACTTTACAGATGAAGAGGCTGAGGCAAAAAGAAAATTGAATACTATGCCCAAGGTCTGACGCCTAGTAAGTAGTTGGGCCAAAAAGGAAAAAAAGAGCTACTTTGGCTCTAAAGACTACTTCCTTGACCCACACTCTAGTTGACCGCCTCTCAGGTCTCAGCCATCCTCTGGACCGCCAACTGGAAGCGCAAACGTCTGTGATTTTCGCAATGCCTCGAAGCCCGGTTCTAGGTCCTTCGCCTCCAACGCGTGCGCCAGAGGTTAGGAGAGCAAGCCTCCTGCATAAGAGGGTCTGGGGATGGGGCCTCCACCTGCGGCCCCGGGCGCGCGGCCCGCAGCCGGCGAGAGCGCGCACGGCGGGAGCGCGGGAGCGGCGCGCACGTGCCGCCGGGAAGGGGCTATCCGGGCCGCGCCAAGATGGCGGCGGCTGCGGCCGCAGCGGCGACGGTTGGCGGCGGCCGGTGAAGCAGGCGGGGCCGGCGGCGCGGAGGCGGGGTCCCGGGCGAGCCGCCCTGGGAGGCGGGGGCCGTTTCCATAGCGGCGGCAGGAGGTGTCGCGCCGGGGAACTTCCTGGTTCCCGGGCTCGGCTTCGCCGGGATCCTCTTGGAAGGGAAACAATGGGGCGGAGGGCATTGCGGTAGCCGACGCCGCGCCGGACCTGCTCGGCCGCCCGGGACCGCCCGCTTTGCCCGCTGCCCACAGCCGCCGCCGACGGGACCGTCCGGAGGTAACTTCCTCTCCTCCTCTGCCGCCGCGAGGGGCCGGCGGCCGCGGGCTCCCTGGCTGGGCTGCCCCGGCCGGGGCTCGGAGTTGGCCCCGGGGAGCTGGACGCCGCCATTCCCGGACCCGGGAGGAGGGGATGCAGCTGCGGCTCGCTGGCCCAGCCCTGGAAGGGCCGGCTCGGGAACGTGCGCGGGGTGCCCCAGGCCGGCCTGTGGGGGTCTGCGGCGTGATTGGCAGGCGGCGGGCGCGGGGCGGAGGGCATGCGGGGAGGGGGCCTGGCGAAGGGCCCAGGCTGTCTAGCCCCCGGGGAGGCGGAACCCGCTGCCCGCCTCCCCCCGCGCCAGTTTCGGTCCCTGGGGAGACGTGTCTCCCTCGCAAGTTTCAGTCGCTTCCTCCAGAGTCCAGTGGGCAGGACCCAGGCAAACTTCGTTCTTTTAAATTACTGCCTTGATGCCGCGGAACTTTGTTTCGACCAGACACGGGAGGATGGGCTGAGTGAGGGATTGAGAGAGCCTGGAAATCTGTGCGCCTTTGCAAAGTTTGCAGAATAGTTCGGAGCTCACGACTGTAGGAAGGTGCGACGTTTCTAATACGTGAGAACGGTTACTCGGTTACTCGCAGGTGTTTTAGTGCCGGAAAATGAAAGAAGTCTATAAATCGATGGGTGGACGTTTGTGTAAGTTGAGGATTGAGTCTTTCTCCCTCCTATCCTCGTCCCTTTAATCCGCGGATGTCTTTCAAACAGAACATTTGAACATGCATTGTCCCTTGAGAAGGCTGAGTGAATTGGGGGCAATCAGTCTTTGAAAATAATGTGACATGAATGGAAAAAAGTGGGCACACTTTTAAACATTTTGATTGTTGGAAGGAAATGATTTCAATTATGTTTCAATCCTTTTTAAAGATAATTAAATTTGGGGGATAGATATTTAATATTTCATAGCTCAGAAGAGTTGCCCAGAACTTTTGCGATCATTCTGGCCAACTCGTCTCTTAGATTGAATTTTTGGGAAGTTCTGTCAGGGGTAAGTCAGAGTACTTTTTTACTTTCATGAAGTCATTTTAGTAAGAATAATGGGTCAGCATTAAATGAACACTTGTTAATTTGCTTTTATCTCTCACTCAGACCCTAAAATTAACAAAGATATTTTTGAGTTTGTCATTTTTTAATAATAAAGATTGTAAACATGGTGTAGTTCGTTACTTAAAATGGTTGTTAGTACTATGTTGTATTCTACATAGGCAATTAAAATATACATCAAAAGAGAAAAAAATTATACTAAGTAAAGAATAAATTAGCTTTTAAGGGAAAACTGATCCTAACTGCAAGCACAGGTATCCTGAATTAAATTCTTACTTCTCCTATTATGTATTTAAAAAATTAATGAGTTGTTACAAAATGTTCAAAAAAGCATCATTTGCCAAACATGAAGAATTTGGGCCCTGAGCCTTATCATGTTGGTGCCTACACACTGTTTTTAGCTAGACTATCAAACTCTCTTTTGTATCTCTTGGTTAAGATAGTTCTTTACCAGTTTTAGCAGTGTTTTGTCATGCAAATAGCTATTAGTGAGGACAACTGGCCTGGTTAAACAAGCCAGTAAGTAAACGTATCAGATTTGGCATCATGTATTAGTTGACTGATCATCGTTAAGCATTTTTGGGAACCAAGAGAGCCACCTGCCATGGCAAATCCAATCTGGGTCTCCAGAACCAAGCAAAGTTTGCACTGGTCTTTCTTTATCATCTGCCTCAAATTGCTGTTACATTTTTGTAGTCAGTAAAGATGGATGAAAAAGAGGCCAGTAAGTTGAAGTTAGTAAATTGAGAACACACAAAGTTATTGTGGTTAAAAGTTATGAGGAACAGGAATGTTATACTCCATGTATGTATGTGATAATACACTCTACTGTCATATCTAAAAAGAAAAGACAAAAAAGAAAAAGTGAGGAATGTTAGGACAGTTCCAAACTGGCAAAAGAGCTAGAAACTGAAGCTTTGAGAATTGGGATGGGGTGGGGTGGGGTGTGTGACAGGGCAGGCTTATGTGCAGAGGCAGGCAGACAGATGCTACCATACATACACACAAAAGTGATTACATTTCATGGTTTATGTTTGGGATTTCACTTTAACCATTGTTGTTTTGTAACATGTGCAGTTCATATCACTAAGTACCAGAAAGTTACAGTTTGTCCCTTCCCTGTGATTTTTGAAAAGTATGTTCCATTCTCAGATGTGATTTAATCATATCCCCCTTAAAAGGTGTCTCCCATTTTTATAGTGGAAGTCAACAGAAAAAAAAATAATTTGAAAGAAATTTGGCTTCTGGAACACTTCCATATAATATTTGGGTATTAGAGCATTGGAATTTGTCATGTAAATCCTGTTTACACGGGATTCTCAACTTCCATATCATTTCCAGATTATATCACCTCAGACAAATTACTTGTTTGAAGCTTGTTTCTTTGTAAAATTGGGGAGAATTATAAATTCAAATTTGTTTATTCAATGAATATTTTTGAGTGCCTTCTGAGTACCTCAGGAATTTGTGTTAGATACTTTGTTTTCAACAAGTAGATGAGTCTTAAGGAACTATAAAATTATAAAGCCTAAGCAGCCTGAATTGGTTTGGGAGTAGTCTGGGCAGGTTTCCCTGAGGAAGTGATTTGTAAGACTTGAAGATTGAGAAGGGGATTGATAGGGGATGAAAAGGAGGGTTGGGACCAAATACAGGAACTTTTGAGGATGAGAAAAGAGTGTGGACACAATTACTGAGCTAAGGAGATTGTTGTGCAGGTTGAGTGAGAATGTTTGGCATGCCAGTTCCCTCTCTGCATATGGGTACTCAGTGTTGGTTCTAAGAGAAGGCTTCTGGTACCATCCTCTAATAATCTGAATGAAGTGGCTCAGTTTTGATCCATAGTCATTGTGGAAAGGGAGTCAATTGGCTTGACTTTAACCACACCTGACCTGGAAATGGCTCTCTGCACACTTTGGTGTCTGCTTTTATAACTGTTAGTTTACCTGTTTCTATAGCTGTAAAACTGGAATTAGATATTAAATAAAATATTAATTCATTTCTTTTCAGAGATTCTGATACCAGGAAAGTATTTTGATTGCATTTTTATTTTGAGGAGCTTAGACTTAAAATGCCTGCTCCTCCTCACAAAACTGTAAGAGCAATCCACTCTAAAAGAAAAAATAGCCAGTATGCAGGTGGTTTCATTTGCTTTTATGGAAGATCTAGATTAACTCTGGAGTTTTATGTCTTGTTAAGTGTTTTTGGCTCTTTAGAGAGATTTAGTTATTTTGTGATAAAGGTACACATTGCATCCATGTCTTACTGACATTGATATGAATGTAGGAAAAGTTAAAATTTTATCCTGAAAGTTTCTTTTCATTGATTCAGCAAGTAAATTAAAAATAATGAGTACTGTTTTTCATAAGTAAGTGAAAGAATATCATTCCAATGCTTTTTAATGTATTAATTTGCAGTTAGTAATGTTATATAGATCAGGGATGGCAAATTAATATTTTATTATGGAATTGATGCAGTATTTATGAGTCAGTTGGCTCTCTAGGCTTTTTGTTCTTGTTTCATTTGTTTGGGTTTTGGACATTTTAATGTTTATTAACATATTTAGTAAGATAAGAAGGTGAAATAAAAATTTGACAATCTAATCACAATAGAGAAAAATTTGAATGCATATGGAAACTAAAACTTATAAAGGTTGTTATGTGTGTGTGGAGCTAGAATTGGCATATAATAACTATTGACAGAAATTCTTAAAAATTAATTTTAGAAATCTGTTACCTGTTGTATGCTCATTTTTTTCTTATTTTTAGCTTTGTTCTGGATTGCTTTTAAAAAATAACTTTTAGGTTTCTTTCCTTTTTCTTTTTTTTTGTCGGGGGGCAGGGGGAGTTTACTGGGGATTGAACTCAGGGGTACTCGACCAGCACTACTTTGTATTTTATTTAGAGATAGGGTCTTACTGAGTTGCTTGGCGCTTTGCTTTTTGCTGAGGCTGGCTTTGAACTTTTGATCCTCCTGTCTCAGCCTCCCAAGCTGCTGGGATTACAGGTGTGTGCCACCCCTCCAGGTTGCTTCTTCCCTTTTTAATGCTTAGGATTGTATGTTCTTTTACTAGTTCCTTATGCATTCTTGACTTATCAAAGTGTAATAATCATTGGGACTTTGGCTGTTTTTTTCTGGATAATGCAAGACCTTTAAAAACATTTAGTTCAATTTTCTTCTATCCTTACTTATTTCATGATTGTCATGTTTTAAAATGCATATATATTTAAAACTCCACAGGCATATTTCTATTGTTTTAGACTGTTATTACTCAGTTACTGTGTTTTCTTCTCTTCATTTCCATCAACATTACTGACCTTCCTTCTGGAATAAACTCCTTCTGCTGCTTGAAGAATACCCCCGAGTGTTTTCCTCAGAGTGAATCTAATGTTGACAAGTGATGGAACTTTTTGTTTGAGAATGTCTTTATTTTGCTTACATTGTTGGGATATATTTTGCTGGGTATAGAATTGTAGATTGGATACATATCTATATTTATATGTTTTTTGGAGAAATTATTCCATATTTTGGCTCTCCTCTTTCTATTCAGAAGTCATCTACAGTTTTATTGCATCTTTGTTGGTGATCTGTTTCTTTTTTCCATCTGTTTTAAAAAATTTGTTCTAATTAGTTATATATGACAGTAAAATGCACTTTGACACATCATACATAAATGGAGTATAACTTCTCATTCTTCTGGTTGTACATGATATAGAATCATACCAGTCATATAGTCATATATGCACATAGGGTAATAATGTCAGATTCATTCTACTATCCTTCCTACTCCTTTGCCCCCTCCCTTCACTCCCCTTTGCCAATCCTAAGTAACTCATTCTCTGCCCCCTGCCCCCCCCCGCCCACCCCCACCCCATGCCCCTATTTTTCAATCTGTTTTTAAAAGTTTCCTTTTGTCTTCGGACTTCATATGATTCTCTCCTTTTTTCCATCCCTCCCTTCCTCCTCCTTCCCTTTTTTTTCTTCTCCTTTCCCTCTTGCTCTGTTCTTGCTTTCGATATGTAGAACATTTTGATGCT